TGTTCTCTCTGTCACACAGATTCTCCTTCATCCCCACCTCACTGCTGGTGCCTCTCTCTCTCTCTCTCTCTCTCCTAAACACCCACCGCACCAGCTGGGCTCATCCTCCTTCTCCTTCACTGGTGCCTCCGCCGAATCCGAAAGATCGTCCAGACCTGAATCAAATTGGAGTCCTCGTCTCGATTCTTGATCTCTCTCAACCTTCTCTCTACCACACCCCTCGAAACAAGCCAAACCCTAACCTAACTCCTCAATCTCGACCCTCGATCGGAGTCCTCTTACCCCATATATATATATATAGTAATGGATTAGGTGAGGTCGCCGCCTCATTTCTCTTCCTTCTCCTTTTTTTTTTTCTTTTGGAAAATGTTTGGGATCTCCACAGAGAAGGAATCCCATGACCATTACTGATGTATTGACTATTGATGTGTTTGAATATTTTTTAGAAATTGTGTCTGATAGTGACATGAACAGTTCAAATAATTTTGGAGGTTGTAGGAGTTATATTTTGTGGGCGGTCTCTATCATTATTGTTTTCTTTTTTCCTTTTGTATTTTCTTTCCTTTGGGTACAAATTTTGTAAAAGTGCACAGTGATTTACTGTGCACTTTATAATATAATAATATATAAAATATATTATTTATACTAATTCATATAAAAATACTTAAAATATGTGCAAACATATAAAATCAAACAACATTATAAACTAATATAAATAAATCTAATAAAGTGTATATTAGGGGATTAAATTTGTAATATTTAGGCACTGATCAATTATTACTTAGAATCATTGAGATCTCTACTGGACATTAGTGTTCATCCCATGTTATCATTTTTTGGGTACAAGTTAGAAAGTTGTTCAAGATCAAAGGATCTTCTTCAATTGTTGGCCACGGGACCTTATTTTCTATGCGTGGAATGTTGTAAGTCTAAGGGCATTCAAAATTCATTGTATCAGAACATTTCATTTTCCGCATTTATTATAGATTGAAAATGGACTTTAATATGGACTTTAGTAATGCATTCGGATAATAGAAGTTTGGACATTACAGGAACAACCTTACCTATTTCTTGGTATTAGAAAAAAGAGATTGCACAAGTTCCTTGAGTCCCTAGCCTCACGCTAAGACATTATTTGAGACAAGGTATAAGGGCGTCATGTCGAGAGACGATGAGTGATCGAACTCAGGTGAAAGCATTTTTATGTCGATCCCTAACTACTGAACCCACCCCGCAGGAGCTCAGGGACAACCTTACGAATTATAACTGGATAAATTATACACTACAAGAATTTGCACTTTTAGCGAGCACTTTCCGCAACCAATATAAAAGTTGGTAGCTAAAAGTTATCTTTTGGTGACCAAATATTAATTAGTCGCGAATGATCATTATTTTTGGCGACCACATATGAGTTGGCCGCAGAAGGTCATATTTTGGGGACCAAAAAATGAGTTGGTTGCAGAAAGTGGTATGGTTTGGGCAACAAACTACAAATTTAGTCACGGAAGTTCACATTTTGGCGCCCAAAAAATAAGTTGGTCGCGGAAGATCAAAAATAAGTTGGTTGTGGAATTGGCGACCAAAAGTTTGGTCGTCAAAAACTTATTTTTAGCGACAAAAAATATTTTCGTTGTCGTATATTGAGTTTTGGCTACTAAAACAATGTAGTCGCCGAATGGAAAATAAAAAATTATTTTTTATATTTTGGCGACCAAAATTTTGGTCGCCAAAAAAATTATTTTTAGCGACTAAAAATATTTTAGTCGCCGTATATTGAGTTTTGGCTACTAAAACTATTTAGTCGCCAAATGGAAAATAAAAAATTATTTTTTATCTTTGGCGACCAAAATTTTGGTCGCCAAAAACTTATTTTCAGTGACTAAAAATATTTTAATCGCCGTATATTGGGTTTCGGCTACTAAAACTATTTAGTCGCCGAATGGAAAATAAAAAATTATTTTTATCTTTGGCGACCAAATTTTGGTCGCCAAAAACATATTTTCAGCGACCAAAAAAAAGTTAGTCGTCATATATTTATTTTTTCAGACCAAAAAAAAGTTAGTCACCAAATTAATACTTTTGGCAACTAATATTTTAGTCGCCGTTAATTAAGCTTTAGCTACAACAAAATTTTAGTCACCAATTATTAACATTTGCCGACCAAAAACTACTTTTGTCGCCAAATGTGTGAAAATTTTAGAGGGAAACCAATTGTCCCGCCTGTTCTCTATTTAAACAAATCAGATTGTTCTCTCTCACACACAGATTGTCCTTCATCCCCATCTCACTACTGGTGCCTCTCTCTCTCTCTCTCCTAAACACCCACCGCACCAGCTGGGCTCATCCCCCTTCTCCTTCACTAGTGCCTCCGTCGGATCCGAAAGATCGTCGAGATCTGAATCAAATTTGAGTCCTCATCTCGATTCCTGATCTCTCTCAACCTTCTCTCTACCACACCCCTCAAAACAAGCCAAACCCTAACCTAACCGCTCAATCTCGACCCTCGATCGGAGTCCTCTTACCCCCTGTCGAGCCCCAAATCGCCGTGAAATCGACCAAATGCACTTGCATTGTTGGAGTTGTGCTCGATTGCTACTTCAAACAAATCTCTCAAATGCCTAGTTGGTCCAAAAAATAGCTTAGAAAACATGAACCAGCTTAGATTACCCAAAGTTGTAGGAATGGGCCAAGTGCTTTGGGTGTTTTTCAAAAGTGTTTTCAAAAATCTTCATCTTCTTCCTCTTCATCATCAGCTACGGTTTCTTGGTTTTCGAGCTCTTCGAAGATGTCAATGGCGTCACAAGAGCATCTAGACAAGATGCAACTCTGCCAGAACTACCGTAACCTCTAGCACACCAATCTCGGGGGCACCATTCAGGTTGACACTCCATGTACTCTCTCTCTCAGACCTGAATCAAATTGGAGTCCTCGTCTCGATTCTTGATCTCTCTCAACCTTCTCTCTACCACACCCCTCGAAACAAGCCAAACCCTAACCTAACTCCTCAATCTCGACCCTCGATCGGAGTCCTCTTACCCCCTCTCAAGCCCCAAATCTCCGTGAAATCGACCAAACGCACTTGCATTGTTGGAGTCGTGCTCGATTGCTACTTCAAACAAATCTCTCAAATGCCTAGTTGGTCCAAAAAATAGCTTAGAAAACATGAACCAGCTTAGATTACCCAAAGTTGTAGGAATGGGCCAAGTGCTTTGGGTGTTTTTCAAAAGTGTTTTCAAAAATCTTCATCTTCTTCCTCTTCATCATCAGCTACGGTTTCTTGGTTTTCGAGCTCTTCGAAGATGTCAATGGCGTCACAAGAGCATCTAGACAAGATGCAACTCTGCCAGAACTACCGTAACCTCTAGCACACCAATCTCGGGGGCACCATTCAGGTTGACACTCCATGTACTCTCTCTCTCTCACTTTTGTACTCTAATATGGTTATTAATTTTGGTTTGTTTTCTTTAATGCAGATTGTTGCCTTGCGTTTTGGTGGTGAGTACTCTGATGATCCATTTCTTAGATCTGTTTTTTCGTTTTCAATTTCTCTTGTTTTGTCAGAGATCTGTAATTGCTTGTGGACTTACTGCTACTACGGTTGACTTGATCTGTGCTTCGAAAATTGAATCTTGCTCTGTTTTTTATTATATATTTCTTTTGAAGGAATTGATGGAATCTTGCTCTGTTTCTTTTTCTTATTATCTATTCTATTTTCAAGAGTGTCTTTATTAAAATTACTTATGTTAGCTAAAGTTTCCATGTTATTCTTAATTAAACTCATTTTTTGGTATAATCTTTGTTCATCCTAGTCATCATTAAAATTATCAAATTATTTTGTAATAATATCCTTTTATCAGCTTCATTCTTTGCTGGATATGTTGTTATGCTTTCTGGTCCATAATTGTCTATTCTATAACCAGAAGCTTCTCTTAAACTTTCATCATAAAAAGTTCCAAATTCACTCATCCTTTAGCTACTGCTAATAACTCAGTAACTAAATCTTCTATTCTTGTGGTTTCTCTAGTTACCAATTCTTTTAATGTTTTGACTAACCTTTTTGTTTCAGTATTTTGGGATGCTAATATATCCATTTGTCTTTGTAAGAAATTACACTTATCTTCAAGATAGTTAGACTGCGTGCTAATATATCCTAACAAATTTTTGGTCTCAATTTCAAATTGTTTAGGTTTATCATTTATTATTGTTATAAGATCTCTAATGTATGTTTTACTTGGTAAGGTATCAAACATACTAATCTTATTGACTTCTATCTTGATAGCATTATAGAGGTCAATCTGAGTATCTACTCAACGATAACACAGAGAAAGAAGGCTATGATATCCCTGGAAAAGGCCAACTTTCGAATTCTATCCATCTGTTTTCCAAAGGAAAATGGATAAGATTTTTGGTGAATACAGGAAGTTTGTCTTAGTTTATATAGATAATATTCTTGTATTCAGTAAAAATGAAAAACAACATTACCATCATCTTCAACAAGTATTAAAGCTCTTTGTTGAACATGGTATTATCATAAGTCTAACATAGAAATTGGTAAAAAATATATCAAGTTTCTAGGAGTAGAAATTAGTGATGGACAAATAAAACTTCAACCCCATATCACCAAGACTATTCTAGAAATGCATGATAGTTTCCCAAAGTTAAAGAAACTACAGCAATTTTTAGGATTAGTCAATTATGCTAGACCTTTTATCAAAGATTTAGCAAAAATTGCTGGACCATTATATCAAAAGACTAGTCTAAAAGGAGAAAGGAGATTTAACTCTGAAGATATCAAAATTGTTAGTTCTGGTTCTGATATAAATGAAGAGACCATTGATTTCTTTGAAAGATTACAAAAATTTAGTATATGATGTATAATTTTATACCCTTTGCCACTAATACTGGCCTATCTTAAATACTAAGTGTCAACACCAATGGAACCCTGGCAGAGGTAATCAATCAGCACCTTGCCATTTATGTTCAAATTATCGTGTTTCGGCTAAGCGTGCCTTGTGTTTAGAATGTTTACAGATTTGGACAAAAAATGTGAGGAAAAAAGGCGAAAAAGGGCTGTTTGGGGGTGAAAATTGGAAACAGCTCCCAAACAGCCCAAGATCATCACGGTTACCTTGGCCTCTCTTCCCCTAATATCTAGTTCTCTCACTCCATGACTCTCTCTATCTTTGTTTTCTCTTTGACTTAAGTAATTTTGTTCTACAATGTCTCACCCACCAGGGCCTTCACCATCCGTATTTTCTGGAGGATCTTCAACTTTCCCCAAAAACAATTTGAGGAATAAATCCCTCTCTTTCTCTCTTTCTCACTCACCCATTCTTTCTCTCCCTCTCCCTCTGAATGTTTCTGTTCATCTATGTTTATTTTTCCTTCTCTCAAATTTTGCACCTACCAACACTGCCATCATCATTTTCCAAGTACCAGCAGTTCGCCTATCTCCAAAAACCCAATTTTAGTTATGGGCCTTCGGTCCTCCCTCTCTCTCCCTCAATTTCTATTTTTTTCTCTGTTTTTCCTAATTTTCAAAACCAATTTATTTGTTATCCCTAATTTTCAAAGCCCTAATGAGTGGATGCTTGAAGGGATGGCCTCAAATCTTACTCTCCAGATTTTGTTAGTTGCTTAAAATTAACTAGTCATGGTATTGGTGCATATAAATTTCTGCTGCAAATTGAACTTTGTCTCATCTTTCTTATTAGGACCACTAACATAGTGCCCACTAGGTAGTGCAATTTTAACTGATATACCAAAATATATCGATATTAGAAAAACTAAACCTGATAATAATACACCAGCAATCAGTTTCTCCCTAGCAAGACTTTATGGAAGACTGTAGCCCAGAGAAGACAACACCTTGGTCAAATTCAGAAGCTTTAGTGCAATGACATCAAAACTTTTTACGACTACAGGTGAGACTTGTCAAGCACCTATTGATGCTATATTTCTCTTGTCAGACCCCCAGCTCAAGCAAAATGAAGTCTAAAAATAGAATAGACCAAAGAACATGTAAGCTAAAAAAAATAAAAATAAAAGTTCCCAGAAGACCCAAGCTCAATTAAGCTAATTATTCAGTTCTTGTTTCACTCTAAGCACATCATATCTAATTATAGACATAAAAACCATATATGACATGTAGTTTGTTTTATTATATCTGATATATTTGCCCAAATTATAGACAACTATAATGGATTAATAAAATTACTTTCTATGATTTTTCATATATATATATATATATATATATATATTTTTAAATTTAAAAAATTTGCATTATAGTGTTTGATATATATTCTTCTTTTCTTATATCTTATAAAGTAAAAATAATTTAAATAAGTTAAAAAAAATTATTTTTTAAAAGTTAGGAGAAACATATTTTTACTTCTATCTTATTATTATTAATTTTAACCTGATATGATCATATGGTTATGAATATCAGATTACTTAATAGGCTCTACAAAATGAATATCAGATTATTTAATACTACAATAATCTGCCTGCACAAAGTAGTTTATACATCTACATATATACACATATATATATTCTTTAGTTTTATTTATTTTTTGGTGGTCCTTGTTTGTTAGATTCTTCTTTTCCTTGTCAGTTCTTAACTTGTTTCTATTGCTACTAAATCAAGGATTTGCAAAAGCAACCTGTAATTTTACCACATTGATTGGTCAAGGGGCATTTGGTCCAGTTTATAAAGCTCAGATGTTAACTAGGGAGACAGTTGCTGTTAAAGTGCTTGCAACTGATTCTAGCAAGGAGCAAAAGAATTCTAAATAGAGGTTAGTGGTGGTTATTGAATTAATATTTTAGGCACATCATGTTCAAAATTTTTACTATATACAACATACTTAGACACACTTGTTATTTGAGGATAAGTCAGAAAAACAGACATAAGAAAAATAAAAATAAGAGAGAGAGAGAGAGAGAGAGAGAGAGAGAGAGAGAGAGAATTATGTATCATTGTATCTTTGTATCTTCTTCATGTTTTGAATTATGTAGTACAAGTACATGAGTTACAAGTATTCCTGCAACCATGCTTACTACAACTTTGTGCAGTAGAATTTTAGGCTCCGTTTGGTAGAGCTTTGTAATTATGATTTGAGAATATGAGTTGTATTTTGAGTTTGTGTGTTTTAGAATTATGATTTGAGTGTAGAAAATTTGTTTGGTTATGGTTTTTGAATAAAGTGTGGAATTGAGTGTAGAATTGAGTTTTGAAAGTTTGATTTGACATGTGAAGTAAGAAAATTTGTTTGGTTATGAGTTTTGAAAAGAGTTTTCAAAACTTAATTCAAATTGCTATAACTCATAACAAAACACATTACTTTCACATTATTAAAAATTTTGATCAACACTCATAACCAAACTCTTTTTAAAATTCAATTAAAAAAATTTATTATTAACAAAAATTAACATTAATCAATTTTTTAATTGAAAATACTACGAAGGAAATAATTTTTTTTCAAAATAAATATTCAAAAAATTTAAATCATAAATATTTAAATAATTTAAATAATCTAAAAAATTTAATAAGTAAAAAATTAAAATAAATATTCAAAAATTTTAAATCGTAAAAATTTAAATAATTTAAATATTTAAAAAATTAAAATAATTTAAAATTTTAATATTTTAAATTTAAAAATAACTCTACACTCAAATCGTAACCAAACACATAAAACAAAATTCAATTAAAAAATTATTTTTAAAACTCATAACCAAACACATAACTCGAAACTCCATACTACTTTCACAACTCTACACTCAAATCGTAACCAAATACATAACAAAAAAATTAAAATATTTAAAAATATTTTTATAAAATAGAGTTTGAATTTATTTTTATAAAATATTTTAAAATTTAAAAAATTAAAATCGTAATATTTAAAAATATTCAAAAAATTAAAAAAATTAAAAAATTAAAAAAATCGTAACATATTTAAATATTAAAATATTTAAAATCTTAACAAAATTAAAATATTTTTAAAATATTGATTTGAATGGAGTTTTGAAAAGAGTTTTGAATTATGTGTTTGGTTATGAGTTTTGAAAAGTAATGATTATGTTTTGAATTGAGTTTTGAGAAATGAGTGTAGAATTATGATTTGAAAACCCTAAACAAACACCATACTCAAAAGTGAGTGTGGAACTAGATTTTAAAAACTCCACCAAACGGAGCCTTAGTTTTTGAGAACCAATTACAAACGCAAGATTATCCTTTTTGCCCTTTTCTTTTTTTCTTTTATTTTCTTAGGAAGTTGTTGAGAATATGGTATATAGTTTGTTCAATTAGTTTTTAATTCCCTATCTAAATTTGCGAAATGAAGAACTCTATTGGCTATTTAGCTGATGGTTGGTGGTTATTGTGGCTAAATGGGCCACTTTGCAGTGTTCACAAAGGGTGCTAGCGATGGTTCTAAACATTGGCCATTTCGTCATGAACTGGCTAATGTGTATCTAGTTTTTAATTTGTAACTCCTGTTTAGATTATTTAGAGCGGCGTGTAACAAGGCATTATGGTTTCACTAATAGATAGCTTTTGCTGGAAAATTGAGTATCTTATCTTATCTGTTTCACTAATTGATTTGTGTGTCTTTCTCTTTGCAGCTAGCAGAAGCATCAAAAGCACAATTTACACGTGATTATAGTGATCACTTTGCTCTTGTCCGGGCTTATAAGGGCTGGAAAGAAGCTGAAAGAGACATAATTGGATATGAATACTACTGGAAGAATTTTCTTTCTACAAATCAATGAAAGCTATTGATCCTCTGCGAAGGGAGTTCTACTCTTCACTTAAGAAATATATTTTAAATTTTAATGCTAGATGGATGTGAATTGGATGATTATATAGATTACAAGCGGATTTTTAATTGAAGGAATATGTAGTTTGGAATTACTTGTGGATGAAAACTTATAATAGTTGCTGACTTTAATTAAACAGTTTCAAAATTTGATGATTTATATATTTTGTTGAATATTCATGATTCAGGTGAATTGTTGGTTTGATTGATTATTGTAAATTACAGATTGTATTGAATGGATTGGATAGATTATTATGAATTACAAGTTTATTTTGTTGCATGTTGGCACAAACAGTCCTTTTGGTGACCAAACTTTTTGGTCGTGGAATGTGACAATTGGCGACCAAACTAAGAGGACTTGGAATGTCACAATTGGCGACCAAAATTTTTGGTTGTGAAATGTCACAATTGCGACCAAACTTTTTAGTCGTGGAATGTCATAATTGGCGACCAAACTTTTTAGTCGTGGAATGTGATAATTGGCGACTAACTTTTTGGTCGTGGAATGTGACAATTGGCGACTAAGATATTTAGTCGGGAAAATATCACTTTTCGCAACCAAAGTGTTTTACCGACAAAATGGATTAGTTGTAGTAATGATATATTTAGCGACTAAAAATTTAGTAGGCAAATCCAACTTTTCCCGACCAACAAAAATTTTGGTCGCGAATTATTTTTGCTGACCCTCAATTGGCGACCAAAAAAATTGGTTGCGAATAACTTTTGCTGACTAAAAATGGGCTTTTAGCGACTAATTTTTTGGTCGGCAAAGGTGCTATTTCTTGTAGTGACACTTACCTACTATGAGGTTTCTGACAAATACAGAAATCTCTCCTGTAATTTCAATAAGTACAGAAATCTCCCTTACTTTTACTGATAATATTAAGATTCTCCCACTCCATCAATTTAGCGCAAACAGTGTTAGTGAACTATCCAAAATAACCATATTATCCTTTTGAATTAAGCGAGAAGATGGAAACTATCAAATCAATCAATAAGCTATTTAAATAAAAAAAAATTCAGTCACATCCCGTTAGATTTTGCATATCTATTATTAAAGGTCCATGTAATATTTTAACATAATACCCTAATAATATAATATAAGACCCTAATAATATAATACATATAAGACTTATTTCACACTATATAAACAACGAAAATTTATCAATTTTAATTAATGCATTTATTATTTAAATTTCTTTGTTCTTTTGTTTTTCCTGAGTTCAAACAAATGGATTACTTTTTTTTTTCAAGAAATTTGTCATACTTATTTATTCATATGTAAAAAATTATTTATCTCTAAATTGTTAGCACATTATTAAAACATTTGATATAAAAAATAAATAAATAAAAACTTAATATTCATTGATAAAATACTTAAAAATAAACAATCTCTGTAAAATTAATGTTAGATAACATTTTAATAATTTAATATAAGACTTATTCCACACTACATAAATAACGTAAAATTTATCATTTTAAGCAATACATTTATTATTTAATTTTTTTTTAAAGTTGAAATAAATGTAGGAGTATTTTTTTTTTCTTCAGCAATTTGCATTACTTATTTATTGATATGTAAAAAAATTATTATTTTATCTTTTCTAAATATTATTCTCAAATTTAAATTTTTGTCTTTGTGCCATTAAGCTTCTAATTTATGCATATTTAAAAAAAAAAACATAGGTTAATATTTCTTACATGACTAAAAATATTTAAAAAATAAATATGAAAGCAAAAAAAAAATAAAAAAATCTTACCTCCTCTAAGGTTTTCAAGATTAATCTTAATCTTAAATGCACTAAATTTAATTTACACTATTAAATATATATATATATATATATATGAAATTATTATTTATTTTTCATAATTTTTTCAAAATATAAATGTAATTTTGTTGACTCTATTTTTTTCCAAAAGTTTTTGAACTTTTATAGAAAAAATAAAATAAAAATTAACCATTAATGAAGGTGAGAAATTAATTTTAAGATATTGTTATTCTTCATTCAATATCAACTAATTTTAATTTTTTGTGAAGCGATTATATTTTTTTTACTTTTATATTTTTTTTTATTTTTTTTAATCATGTAAAAATATTAACCTGTGTTTTTTTGAATATGCATCAACTAGAAGTTTAATAACCCAAAAATAAAAATAAAAAAATTGAAAATAATATATGATTGGGAAAAGATAAAATAATAATGTTTGTACATATGAATAAATAAGTAGTACAAATTGTCTGAAAAAAATAAACCCATTTAATTCAACGTTTAAAATATTCAAATAATAAATGTATTACTTAAAATGATAAATTTTATGTTGTTTATGTAATGTAGAAGAATCTTATAAATTATTAGGATGTCATCTAGCATTAATTTTAGAGAGATTGTTTATTTTTAAGTATATTTTATCAATAAAAATTAAGTTTTTTTTTTAATTTTATTAAATTATTTAATAATATTTTAACAATTTAAGAGTTTTATTTAATATTGCATAAATTTTAAGAGTTTTATTAAATAATGTTAAAACATATATATATATATATGGATTTTTGATAATATATATAAATCTCAGGGAAAGTGGGTGAAATTACTCATTTGAATAGACAAGTCATCTAAGGGGTAATTTCATGGTTATTGGTATGACATCAATACAATATCAATAAATTCTATTAAATAATAGGGAAATTTTTTTGATAATAATTTCAAAAGTAAAATTTTTTTGTATGATTATTAAAAGTATAAGAGCGGTCCCTCTAATTATCAGGAATATGAAGGTAGATAAGTGTAATTTACCCATTATAACTCAACGTATGTGTTTGTCTCTCTCCCCGAGGATTTGAGCATGCTGATAAACCTTCTACATAAAAGGAAATGGTAAGGCAATACATGGTGGCTCTGCCACAATATACATTTTGCTACATTTGATTAGCAATAAATCTATTTTTGGATCTGGGTTGACACAACAGAGACGTGATAGTGCCAGAGGCTTATTATTTGTAATGTGTGTTTGATTTAAGTAATAGATAGATAGGTTGCAACAATACTAGTTTGAAAACTGTCTCTTCACTTTGGGTTTGGAAACTCTCTCAGAAGGTTGTGGTAGTGGTGGATGGTGAGGATGGGCTAGGGAATGGTTGGGAGGAGCTGGGAGTGGGGTGGTTGGGAGTGGCGGTCAAAGGTGAATGATGCGGTGGCTAAGGTTATGCTTTTGAACGTTAGGAATGATAGTATAATTGCAATCAAAGTGAGTGGTAAAAGAAATAAATATTTAAAAAATAAAATAGTTTGATGGGATTCAAAGAAAGTGGGGTTCTAAAGAGAAATGGTAGGGAATATTAAATTATATTTGAATCATGAATTTTGATAGTGATTTGAAATATATATATATATATATATGTCTGAATGGAATATAAATTAATTTTTTGTCTCCAACTTTCATGCATTTTTTGGTATTTTTATTTTTAAAATCCCTATTTAAATCTATTATTCAAATAAAACTTTATCACCACCGCTTAGTCATGATTTAATGATCCCGAATACTTTCATACAAAAACTGCTGATATTTTGGAAAAGTAAAGCTCTTGTAGTGCATAGATGAGCACCAAATAGCCTATTATGATGGTGCCCGAGGATCAAATAAAAGCTGAACTTTCAATGCAACCAAAGAGGGGGACAGTCTCATGATGATATTTTAGGAATTGAAAGATGGAATGGAGTGTCCTCCATGGACTTAATTTGTCTTTCTTGTTTTTACCGCATAGAATTGATTGGTGGAAAGTTAAAATAATAATAATAATAATAATAATTTTGGGGGCCGAATATTGGGAGGCGTAAAGATTCCGGAGAGTCGAGCATTGAAGAATCAAGATTCGAAACATTCGGCCACTGCCACGGAAACTCGGATCCAACCTTATTCGGCCAGATATTCGATTAAGCAAGGGGCCGAATGAAGATCGATTTATTACAAAATATGCCGAATAGGAGGTTGGATTTGGAACTAATCTCGAGGCATAAAAAAGAAAAGATATAAATAGAAGAGACATCAGCCAGAAAGAGGTATGTGTTAATTGCGGTGTTTAACTTAGAATACAAGTAATCTAGAACGAGAGACTGACTTATCCGTCGGAATGCTAATTCCAGCACCCCCGACCGGAGTGTTTACTTCCTTTCAGGTGCCTATCGGTGGATCACGAGCGTCCCCCAGGATCAGAAGAGTATTTCCAAAAAACCATCTCTCCACAATTGGCGCCGTCTGTGGGAATACTCAAGCATATCCATGGCGGACGTGACGGAGGACCCTCTAATAGTCACTGATGAAAACACGCAGGTAGACGTTTTCACTACAACAAACACGCACGGACCGGAGCTTCTCCCAGCAAGACGCGTTTTGAACTTCGCCTTACCTTCGACTCCAGAACATGAGGCAATGCAAGTGATCATGGAGCAGGCAAAGCAAAATGACAGAGGTTGGAAAACTTGATTGATGAGAACAAGTGCCTCCGTCAGGATTTGTCTTTGGAGGTAGCAAAATCCAAACTAGCCGTGCTCCAAAATCCCGAGCGACCTCTGAAAGCAGGTGATTGACGACCTCGAGCCTAGCTTCACAACACCGATAGCAGCTCCGATCTATTATCCCCGGATCCCAAGAAGAATGGACGATTTGAAGTTTCCAATTCCTCCGGAGAAAGCCCGCTTATAAAGTGGGCCCCCTCGTTCTACACCAGGCCATCAGATGCGGTGGCACCTCCCGACATGACAAGAAGGGATAGAAGGTGTGAATATCGCGAAGATCACGATCGTGACAGTAGCTATGCCATGAAAGACCTTTAGGAGTTGGTCCGAGATGTTCAGCCCCAGCACTATGCCCAAATGTGCGCAACCGGACCAATTGTACTTCGGCGGGAATCACCTCCGCTTGCAGTCATCCATATGATATACAGCTTGCCAACTCCCTCAGCCGTGCATACAATTCAAACACACCCTGCATCCCAAAAGCAACTCACACCGGCGAAACGGCCGCATGAAGCTCCGAATATCACCTTCGACGATTCTGATCTTATCGGCATAACAGTCCCCTACATTGATCCACTGGTCATTGAACTACGTGTCAACCGATTTATTATCGAGCGCGTTCTCATAGACCAGGGAAGTACTTCTG